TCTTTCTTTCTTTCTTTCTTTCTTTCTTTCGTTTGTTTTGACAGAATCTCACTTATATACCCAGGTACCTGTGGTGTTGTTTTGACAGAATCTCATTCCTAGTTACCTGGAACTTGATATTCTAGACCAAGCTAGCCACAAACTCAGAGAGCTCCACCTGCCTCTGCCTCCTGAGTACTCAGATTAAAGGCGTGGGCCACCACACACCGTCCTATTTATTCTTTAGAAGGGATAACTGTCTTCAGTATGGAACATAGATCTCCCCATGCCCTTTTCTATGAATATGCAAAAGCATGCACATTATAAATAGCTTTCTTCACTTAGCATGCCAACAATGTCTCTTCACGTCAGCGTATTTAGATCTAGCTCACTCTTTATAGCTGTGTAGTATTGCTGCTGTAAGCCCAGCACTTGGGAGACTGAGACAGGATTACAAGATAGAAGCTAGCCTGAGCTACATAGCAAAAGTCTGTCTCAAAAAACTAAAGAAAAGAAAAATAAAGGCTTGACTTTCTTCTCTGCCTCCCCTCCCTACATCCCTCAGCTCCTCTTCTTCCTTTTTTCCAGATAGACACATGAGGTGTAGCCCAGGCTGGCCTCCAGCTCTCAGTCCTACCTCCCTCGCCCCATGCTGGGATCCCTGGTTTGCCGTGTTTCTCACGTGTCCTTGTAACGTTGCTTCAGGAAACTCTCCAGAGTAAGCACTCTGACTCCAGTGGGGACAGAAGAGAGGAGCTGTCACAGGTGGACCAAAGCCAGGACACCTCCTGAAAGGCCTGCTGGGTCCTGGGGTCAGCTGGCATTCTCGTTTTTTTATGTTCTAAAACCACAAGGTGGAGCCTGCAACAAGCAGGTGAGCAGGTTGTTAGGGCGACGACCCATTGCTTCAGCTGTTTCTCCAGGTCATTCTATTTCAGGTAGCAAGTGAAGTCATGCTTGGCAAGTGGGCAGTACAAACAGTGCTTTAAGTAAATCACTAAATAAATCAACAAGTCAGTGTCTAATAATAGTTTTTCCACCATTCGATCCAATTTATTCAAACCTCCTCTGGGTCAACATGGATTTTTCCAAACTTTGTGGGAAATGTTATGACCAGCCATGAAGTTTTACAGTAACCTATACTATACCACAGCAGTATAGTTTACTATACTATCTATACTATACTATACCATACTATACTATACCACAGCAGTATAGTTTACTATACCATACTATACTATACCACAGCAGTATAGTTTACTATCCTATCCTATCCTATCCTATACTATACCACAGCAGTATAGTTTACTATACTATCTATACTATATCATACCATACCATACTATACTATACTATACTATACTATACTATACTATACTATACTACAGTAGTATACTTTACTATACTATACTATACCACAGCAGTATAGTTTACTATACTATACTATACTATACAATACTATACCACAGCAGTATAGTTTATTATACTATCCTATCCTATCCTATACTATACTATATTATACCACAGCAGTATAGTTTACTATCCTATCCTATCCTATCCTATACCATACTATCCTATACCATACTATACTATACTATACTATACTATACTATACTATACTATACCACAGTAGTACACTTTACTATACTATACTATACTATATAATACTATACCACAGCAGTATAGTTTACTATCCTATACTATACTATACCACAGCAGTATAGTTTACTATACTATACTATACTATACTATACTATACCACAGCAGTATAGTTTACTATCCTATCCTATACTATCCTATCCTATACTATACTATACCACAGCAGTATAGTTTACTATACTATCTATACTATGCTATACTATACCATACTATACTATACTATACCATACCACAGCAGTATAGTTTACTATACTATACCACAGCAGTATAGTTAACTATACTATACTATACTACAGCAGTATAGTTTACTATACTATACTATACTACACTATACCACAGCAGTATAGTTTACTATACTATACTATACTATACGATACCATACCACAGCAGTATAGTTTACTATACTATCTATACTATACTATACCACAGCAGTATAGTTTACTATACTATCTATACTATACTATACTATACTATACCACAGCAGTATATTTTACTATACTATCTATACTATACTATACTATACTATACCACAGCAGTATATTTTACTATACTATCTATACTATACTATACTATACTATACCACAGCAGTATAGTTTACTATACTATACTATACTATACTATACTATACTATACTATACCACAGCAGTATAGTTTACTATACTATCTATACTATACTATACTATACTACACTATACCACAGCAGTATAGTTTACTATACTATCTATACTATACTATACTATACTACACTATACCACAGCAGTATAGTTTACTATACTATCTATACTATATTATACTATACCACAGCAGTATAGTTTACTATACTATACTATACTATACCATACCACAGCAGTATAGTTTACTATACTATCTATACTATACTATACTACACTACACTATACCACAGCAGTATAGTTTGCTATACTATCTATACTATACTATACCACAGCAGTATAGTTTGCTATACTGCACTATACCATAAAACAGCAGTATAGTTTACTATACTATCTATACTATATTATACTATACTACACTATACCACAGCAGTATAGTTTACTATACTATCTATACTATATTATACTATACCACAGCAGTATAGTTTACTATACTATACTATACCATACCACAGCAGTATAGTTTACTATACTATCTATACTATACTATACTATACTATACTATACTATACTATACTATACTATACCACAGCAGTATATTTTACTATACTATCTATACTATACTATACTATACTATACTATACCACAGCAGTATAGTTTACTATACTATACTATACCATACCACAGCAGTATAGTTTACTATACTATCTATACTATACTATACTATACCACAGCAGTATAGTTTACTATACTACACTATACTATACCACAGCAGTATAGTTTACTATACTATACCATACTATACTATACTATACTATACTATACTATACCATACCATACTATACTATACCACAGCAGTATAGTTTACTATACTATCTATAGTGTAACTATATACCACAGCCTCGCATCTTTGTTTAATTGAAAAGGATGTGTTCTAGCCCCACAGTGGTGGTACACAACTTTAATCTCAGCACTCTGGAGGCAGAGGCAGGTGGATATCTCTGAGTTCCAAGCCAGCCTGGTCTACAGAGCGAGTTCCAGGACAGCCATGGCTACACAGAGAAACCGTGTCTTGAAAAAAAAAAAAGATGTGTTCCTAGGATTGGAATGGCTTATTTGGAGGGGGTGGGAGGAGCAATGTCTTGACATTGAAGGCAGCTGAGGTCACTGTCTATGATTAAACCTATAAATGAGAATGAGAGAGCCTGAGGTGGGCACCTGTAACCTCAGCACCTAGAGGCAGAGGTTCAAGACCAGACTGTACCTCAAAGAGAAAGGAAGGTTGACCAGTTTAAGGATGAAGTACCAGTTGTGAAGGGTTTAAGTGGAAGCCTAGAGCTTGTTCCTGCTTTTGTTTGTTTGGGAAAGGGTCTCCTTTAGCCCAGGCTGGCTCTGAACTCCTCTCCAGCCTCCTACCTCCCCCACCTTCTCAGCACTGCAATTGCAGATGTGAGCCCCTGCTCCTGGCAGGAGACTGGTTTTCAAGGGCCCATGGACTGGGTTTCTCTGGGCCAGGCCAAGAACAGACACAGATATGGAACTGATCATGCCCTTAAAGGCTGAGAACATTGGAGTCTGTGATGCCGGGCTATACCCAAGAGGAGGCTCTCAAGCTTTCTCTTAACACACCTCATCCTGGACCAGCAACTGCCTCTCAGTCTCCAGAGAAGCAAGAAGGTGGAAAGGAATGGCAAGATGCCCTGAATTCTCCGGCCACCTCAGCCCTCTGGTTTTTGTTTTTTGTCTTTTGTTTTGTTTTTTTTTTTTTTTGTTTTGTTTTTTGGATGCTAGAGGCAGACTGCAAAAAAAGAGCTTCGACCTACCTGGGCACCCGTTATCCTGAAGGCTCAGGGGCCAGACTGCAGAGCTCTGCAAATGCCTTCCCGGGCCTCTCTCAGCCCTGCAGCCCCAAAGCCTGGACTCTGAGGTGCATAGGTGCAGAGGGCCCTAGGGAAGTCACGGCAGCTTCCAGGCTCCGCTATACTGCTGCTCCCACACCCTTTGCTGAGGCCTGCAATGACCCCGACCATCATGTGCCCAGTTGATGGTCCTCTCTCCTCTTTGGGGCACACTGACCTCTGACCTCCTCCTTCTTCTTCTGGCCCTTCCTCTTGTGCACCCTCTGCCCTCCATTCTTATGGCCCTCATCCTCCCAGTCCTGAGGGTTCCCTCTTCCAGCTTGCCCACATTCTCTTGCCCTGAGAGCTCCGTGGTTTTCCTACTGAGCCTTTCCAGATCCGTTTCTCTCCATAGCGTCCTCTTTGCTTTGCTCCTGGGCTCCAGCCTGCATCCACGTGCTGGGGACAAGCCCCATCTCCCTCTTTGGACACAGAGAAGCTGCTGTGTTCTCCTTCTCCCCGATTCTCCCCAGCCCCCAATCCCTACATGCACAGGACAGGTCTCTGCGTTATAGTCCCACAGTGTACAGTGGGGCAGCGGTGGATGCTGAGAGAGATTCTGGCAACGTGGGGTACACCTGAAAGAAAAGCAATCCTCATTCTGCAACTTAAATTTTTTTAGTATCACATTTACCTATCTACGTATTTATGGTGTGTGTGTGTGCACGCGTGTGAGCGAGTGTGTGAGCACATGCACGTGGAAGCCAGAGGACAACTTGTAAGATTCCATTCACTCCTTCTATTGTGTCTGTTCTAGAAATTGAACTGGGGTCGACAGTTGGGGGCAAAGGCTATTAACCCTCTCCGCCATCTCAATGATGTGCCCTCCATCTTATTCCTCAAAAAAGAAAAAAAAAAGGATCTTCTGGATGCTTTTCAACTGAAACAGGTTAACTGAGCGCTAACCTTGTTCTGTCTTCGAGTAACAGATAAATGAGTTGACTTGAAACTTTTCCTTTGTACTTCCATGGCACCTGTGCTTTCCTGCCTTCTACCCACAGCCCTGCCCAGCTGGCAGGAGGAAGGTCAGCAAAGCTGCTGATAAGAGGAATATAAAGAGGGTTCGGCTCATGGCAAAGGGGCAGTGGTCTGCTCTCTCGGCAACATGTTACACTTCCTGGTGTTCGCTTCCCTGGTCCTGTGTGGTGAGTGGGTCTTCTGGCCGGAGCTCTGAGGGAGGGGGATTTGAGCAGGAGGGTCAGAAAGTCTCTAAGCCCAGGCTAGCTCTCTATCTCAGAGGAAGATGAAAAGCTGTGCCTGTCAGTCTAGCAGAAACCCTCTGGAGCAGAAGAGAGGCAGGACTGAGGAGCTCTGACTGACTGCCGGGCAGGTGCCTGCTGGGTGGCAGGTGCCTGACCAAGAAGCATAACGAAGCCCCTTTAGGGGTTCCCCACCAACCTTCCCGACTGCTGTCCATGGCTTCTGGAGAATCCTGCCGAAGCATGGGGAGGGGGCCCCTCAAGGTGACCTTGAGCCAGGGAAGAGCATGGGCACCTGTGGGCCCCTCGCCTGGTGGTTTGGGAAAGGTCTCCCCCTGCCAGCCAGAGTTCTCGCACACCCCAGAGAAGCAGGAGGTGCTCTGAGGCTCTGTTTTCAAAGGAGGCGAAAGAGGTGCACACAGCTCAGGGCTGGGCCCCCTGGGCCTGTTGCGGAGAGCTGAGAATTTGCAGACAAAGCTAACAGTCTTCAAAGCCGAGCTGCCGCTCCCACCCCCGCCCCGCTGACCCCATGCTTAGTCATCACCCACTTTTCTTTCTTCTGCCCCACAAAGGACACAGCACCCAGGACTTTCCAGAAACTAACGCACGGGTGGTTGGAGGGGCTGAGGCCCAGAGGAACTCTTGGCCATCTCAGGTGGGTGGTTCCTCCTGCCCAGGCTTTTACCCAGGCCAGAAATGCTGTGTATGCCCTCCCCCGAAAAATTTTATTTTTACGTGTATATGTGTGTTTACCCTCAGGCAGCTCACTTGCTGTCTAGTTCTGAATTTTAAAGATGTGTGCGACCAGACTGAGGTGGAACTCTAAATGCAAAAGGCTTGTGGAGAGGGAACTTATACACCAGTCTCAATGGGCGTGTGTGTGTGTGTGTGTGTGTGTGTGTGTGTGTGTGTGTGAGAGAGAGAGAGAGAGAGAGAGAGAGACAGACAGACAGACAGACAGACAGACAGACAGACAGACGCAGAGAAAGTGCCAGAGCGCCACAGGGCAGCTAGAGCCTTCCACCATGTTTGCGGCAGGGGCTCCCACGCTCCAGCCCACTCCAGCGCCAGCACCAACCCCTCCCTCCCTCACTGACCCCTCAACCTTCCAGCTCATTCTCCGGCTCCACCTCCCACCTCACCACAAGGGTTCTGGGAATCGCAGGTGCTCACCACCACATCCAGGTTTGGGTTTGTGGTGTGAGACAGGGCCTTGCCATGTTAGCCCTGGCCGTCCTGGAACTGGCAATCTAGACCAGGCTGATCTCGAACACGCAGACTCTGGCTGCCTCTGCCTCCCAGGTGCAGGGGTGAACACACCAGTCCCTCAAGTGGGGTCTGGGGATTCACACTCAGGTCATCAGGTTTGCACAGTCAGTGATTTTACTTGTGACCCAAACTTCGTTCCTCCTTTCTGTAGTGTGAGGGCTTGAACCCACGACCTTGCTGGTGCCTCTGAGTTACATCCTCTCCTCACAAGCTGTTTTCATTATTCCTGTGACAGCCTGTGTGACCCCAAAGGCGCCACACGCCCTAAAACATACATACATCTACCACTTCACAGTGTGCCCCAAACACAGGGGCTAATGTTTTCACATCCTTTTTAAATTTTTTTTATTTTTATTTCCTATGCACTGGTGTTTTGCCTGCGTGTACGTCTGTGTGAGGGTGTCGGATCCTCTGGAACTGGAGCTACAGACAATTGTGAGCTGCCATGTGGATGCTGGGAATTGAACCTGGGTTCTCAGGAAGAACAGCCAGTGCTCTTAACCACTGAGCCATCTCTCCAGCCCCATCTTTCCACATCCTCAAGAGGACACTTGAGCCTGACTCAATGCAGACATGAACACATAAAGTCAGTACAGTAGCTGCTCACCAGTCATAACTTCCAGAGGAATTCTGCAATTACAATTACATTTAACTTACAGCAGTCTGAACCCAATTTTCAGAAGCAGATCTATTGTGTAAAATGAGAAAACACAAACTGATTTAAAAAAAAAATTCCATTGTCATTCTAAGTCCTCCCGGATGTGGGAGGCTGGGGTACTTCTAGAAGACATTGAAGAGGGGACCCTGAGACCTGAACCTGTAGGGCTTGGCTGAATGAGCAACGCTTGGCTCCCTTTTGGAAAGGAGAGATAAAAGAACCTGAGTTTTAACCCACAGCAACATCCTAGTGTAGAGATGCCTAAGGTGCCTATGTGTGCCTTTGCTTTCTCATGTGTGTGTAGCAAATGTCACCGAATGGTAGAGACTCTTTTCAGCCGACCCCAGAAGCAACTAATACCTCTTCTCAGCAAGCTGCTTCCAGCCGATCCAGAGCCATCGGCCAAGGGGGAGATTGGTTTGCTATCCCCGGTCCAGGAAGTTAGAGAATGTTTTGAATAATGTCAGGAGTTCTAGAAGATGACTCCAGCCCTCCCTGCTTTCTTCCCTCCTGACTAGATTTCCCTCCAGTACCGTTCTGGAGGGCTGTGGTACCACACCTGTGGAGGAACCCTCATCCGACGCAACTGGGTGATGACCGCCGCTCACTGTGTGGACAGGTGAGAACAGTCAGTCTCCGAGCCCCTGGGAGGAAGTGACTGACCCTTCTGGAAGAACGTGTACTTGGACTTCTCCGGGCAGGGCTGGAGAGGGTCATCGCTGAGCCCAATTGTGTTTGGGGGTCCCTGAGGGGACAGTATAGAGGAAGTACAAGTTTTGGAGTCCAGCAGGTCCACATTCAAATCTCGTTCCCGTATCTATGGCCATGTGACCTTCTCTGCTCTCCCAGTCTCTCATCTCTGAAGTGGGAAAATAATACAGACAACGGAGGAGACACTTAAACGCTGACTCAGCATCTGAGTACTGGTCAATTTTCCCTGCTTGTAACAAGCAATAGTTTCCTTTTTAAAAAGTTGGAATGTGTTATTATTATTACTATTAGTATTAGTATTGTTGTTGTTGTGTGTGTGAATGTGTGTGAGCAGGATGCAGGGGGCACACGGCATGATGTACATACAGAGATCAGAGGACAACTGTGTGGAGCTGATTTTCCCATCCCCGGCCTAGAACCCAGGTTACATGCTTGCATAACAAGTGCCTTTATCCACTGGACCATCCTTACCTGCCCAGTTCCCAGATTTGAACACATTAGAATCACATGGGAAGCACATAGAATCAGTTGGTGGGTCCCCTCAGCGGAGTTCTGATATGGCAAGTCCCGGGTGAGGCCTGATGACTGTATTTGTGGGGGCGGGGAGGGGGAGGGGCCATGCATGTGTGTATGAGCGCATACAGGTGTGTGATTGCCCATATGGGCCTTTGTGTAGGTCCGAGATTGACATCAGAAAGTCTTCCTCGATCACGTCACCTGATTTTTTGAAAGAGTCACTATTGAACCTGGGACTTGATGTTTTTGCTAGGCTGGGCAGCGAGGCCCTGGGATGCATCTCTGCCTCAGAGCTGGGGTCAGAGGTATCTCCTCAGGCTTGCACAGTGAACCCTTTCCCACTGAGCTGTCTCCCCAGACCCCAACAGGTTTCCAGGTGACCGTAAGGGTGCTGGTCCAGGACCACGCTTTAGGAGTTACAGGTCTAAGTCGTATATAGTGATGTACGTTTGTAACCCTGGTACAGGAGGCTGAGGCAGGAGGATTGAGAGTTTGAAGCCAGCCTGGGATGAGACCCTGTCTAAACCAACAACAACAACACATACGTGTGTGTGTGTGTGTGTGTGTGTGTGTGTGTGTGTGTGTGTGTAACCAATAGGTTTATTTCCCTCATGGATAGGTGCCATTGGGTACTATCATATTCAACTTATACTGTTAGCTTAATAAACTGAGAATGTGCAGCTGGTTGTATTTTTTTCTGCTGCCACAAGTTACTAACTTTAGGGAATGGGGGGACTTGCTGTGTCCTAACCTTTTGCCCTCCTGTCTGGGTCAGATGGACTGAGTGTCCGTCCCAAAAGTAAACTGTCACCACTGCCCTCCTCCCCTCTAAGGGGGAAGGAGGTCCCTCAGGCTTCCTTCTCTCTCTCCAGCCCGATGACTTTCCGTGTGGCTGTCGGAGATCACAACCTGAGCCAGAACGATGGCACGGAGCAGTACGTGAGCGTGCAGAAGGTCGTGGTGCACCCCAGCTGGAACAAGGACAACGTGGCTGCGGGGTACGCAGGACACTAAACTGGCTGTGCGCTGGGGCGGGGCACCTGGCCACTGGGCCCCTGTTTCCCCCACTTGTTCTCTTGTGGTGGGGGGAAGTGGGGTGCTGGAAGGATGGCCTGAAACTTCCTGTGTGGCTTTTGTAGCCTGGCCTTGTTGAGTCGTGGGTGGAGCCTGGAAGAGAGCCCCATGTCCTGCCTCAGGCCATGTGCTGGCCTCTGGGCCAGGAGCACACCTGAATGCCTGAAGAGCTTCGGGTTTATCTCTTGTGGGTGGGGCTGCACAGTTGGATCGTGGGAGGACGTGTCTGTTTTAATGTCTCTGTTTTTCTGGGAGTGGGTATTTTGGTTTGGTTTTGGTCTTTGGAGAATCTCTCATGCAACTCAAGCTGGCCTTGAACTCACTGTGTAGCCGAGGTTGCCTGCACCCTGCCTCCCGAGCGCTGGGGTTCCAGGATCTCAGCACCACTCAGGGCTTTGTTTGGTCTTTGTTATTTATTCCCTCTATGGAATATACTTCATCCATACAAGGAAATTTTGTTTCGTTTTGGTTTGGCTTTGGTGTGGGAAAAGGAACCCAGAGCCTTGAACATACCAGGCAAGTACACTACCCTTGAGCCCCACCCCAGCCCCTGGGGAATTTTCTTAAGGTGGGTTGTAAAGTTTTGGAAAGGTAATCATTAACTTGGTAGTTAGGGAGCCGCCCTTAATGGGACAGTCTGGTAAGCCCAGCACTTGAAAGGCTAAGGCAGGATGATCAGGAGTTCAAAGTCATTATCAACTACACGGTTAGAACAAAGACAGCCTGGGATCAGAATGACCCAGTTTCTAAAACACCTAGCCCCATGTCTGCCAAAAAAATAAATAAAAAGTAAAACAAGAGCAGGGGACGTAATTCAGTGGCAAAGTGCCTGCCTGACATGCTTGAGGCTTTATCTAGTTCAATCCCTCGACCTAGAAAAAAATGGTAGTCATGGAAGGGGTTATTGGTGTAAGTTTGTGATCCAGTCCAATACCGGCCTACGTGTGACCCTCAGCGTGACGCCCCCCCCCCCCCCAGCACCACAAAAGATTAAAAAGGTCTTCTGTTCTGTAGAATGTGTAGGGGTGGCTTCAAGTAACTGGTATGATTCTGACAGATGTTTCAGAATTGTACCTGTTAAGAACTCTGTAACGGAGATCACATCACCTGCGTTTTTATAACTCTGGCTGTCCACCACCCCAGGTTGTGAAGCAGAGCCAGGCTGCAATTCCAACATCCTACCAGCAGGTGGTGCTGCTATTCATCAAATGTCCCGCAACTCAACTGCTTCCAAGTTTGCCTCCCTCCTTTAAGTGTGTCTGTGTCTGTATGTATCTGTGTGTATGTGTGCGTGTGTCTGTGTTCACATGTGTGCAGGTCCAGAAGTCATCAGACTGCCCAGAGCTGGAGTTACGGGCACCTGGTGCTCAGGACTGGACTTGAGTCCTGTGAACAGCAGACCTGACTGTAAGTAAGCCCACCTCCGTCTCTCCTGCAGCTATGACATCGCCCTGCTGCGCTTGGCCCAGAGTGTCACACTCAATAACTACATCCAGCTGGGTGTTCTGCCCCAGGAGGGAACCACCCTGGCAAACAACACTCCCTGCTACATCACAGGCTGGGGAAAGACCAAAAGTAAGTCGTACATGCTCCCACCATACACCACTGAGATGTTGATGAAATGGGTGAGCTCCGCATTATTTTCTATGATTCTAGACATTTACAGCCAGAGTCAGATGACCTAGAGAGCCATAGATCAAACCACTGATACAGTTGAGTCAGAGGTTCACAGACTCTCATAACCAAAGAAAGAAAAGAAAAACTTACCAGAGAAATTAGTTTGTGCTGGCCCTTATCTTATACATTAGGAAATTGGGCACAAAAAAGAAAGTAAAGCACTTGGTCATGTGACTGGTTACAGGTATCCGGCCTTCACTTTGGCGGTCTCTGCCCCTGCACAGACAGGTACCCAGCTGAACTGGAGTAAACAGACCTGGGTGGGCTGCAGATCCAGTCACAGGGCAGAGGAGGCCTCTGCTCCCCTCTCCTCATCATGGCGGGAATGTTACCCAAATGATGTGGAAAGATGGGCGAGCTGTGAACAGAGGCGTTAGGAACGTGGAAACAGAAGCCTGGCAGCCACAGGCAGGAGTCGGGTTCCTGGAGAAGAGTTGAGGCCTTACTTGAGCACAGTCTATTGGGGAAAGCCGGGGGCAAACATAGACAGACTTCTAATCCAGCTCTCAGTTCCTGTAATAGCACCGTGGTTCTACAATGGGAGAGGACTGTTAGGACCTACAGAAATGGCATCAGATGCAAAAAGGCTTTGAAGACTCAAAAAGCCAGATAAAGGAAAGCTGTATTAAGCTCCCCCCCCCCTTTTTTTTTTTTTTTTTTTGTTTTTCAAGACAGGGTTTCTCTGTGTTGTTTTGGTGCCTGTCCTGGATCTTGCTCTGTAGCCCAGGCTGGCCTCGAACTCACAGAGATCTGCCTGGCTCTGTCTCCCGAGTGCTGGGATTAAAGGCGTGCACCACCACCGCCCAGCTTTAAGCTCCTTTTAAAAATGATTCATTTTTATTGTTTTTAACTATGTGTACATGTATGTGTCTTCACATGTATGAAGTGCAGGGCCTGCAGAGTTCAGAAGAGGGTGTTTGCCCAGAAGGGTGCTGGGAACTGAACTCAGGTCCTCGTCAAGAACAGCAAGGGCTCTTAACCAATGAGTCATCTCTCCAACCCCTGAACTCAGCTCTTAGGAAGTGGAGATAAATCGCTGTGGCACAGGCCTCTGGTCCCAGCACTCAGAGCATAGAAGCAGGCGGATCTCTGTGAGTTCAAGGCCAGTTCTAGGACAGCGATGGCTACATAGTGAGACCCTGTAGAAGAAAGAAGAAGAGGAGGGAGAGGAGGAGGAGGAGGAGGGGGAGGAGGAAGAGGGGGAGGGGGAGGAGGAGGAGGAGGAGGGGGAGGAGGAAGAGGGGGAGGGGGAGGAGGAGGAGGAGGAAAGAGAGGGCAATAAGACACTGGCTACATGAGCTGTGGAAGGATTCTTCCCTGTGCTGACTTCCAATGTGACATCCCATTCAGCCAACGGGCAGCCATCTCAGACCCTGCAGCAGGCATACCTGCCCAGCGTGGACTATGCCATCTGCTCCAGCTCCTCTTACTGGGGCTCCACAGTGAAGAGGACCATGGTGTGTGCTGGGGGAGACGGGATTCGCTCGGGATGCCAGGTGAGTGCACGCAGTGAGCCCCCTTTGACTCTCCGCCTTTGGCTCGCCCTCAGTCCCTCACCTGCTCTTGCACCCATGGATGGACTCAGCTTTCTGCTCTGTCACAGAACCTCAAGGTGGGAAGGACTATGAAAATGCCTCGTTCAATAGCCTTACCTCAAAAGCTGCTCTGTGGCCCTAACGCTCCTGTGTTTACGTACGTGTATAGTCTTTAGAAGTTGCTTGTGACCTAAATTCTTTTAACGGTAGCTGTGGGGCTGGGCCTGTGGGGAGGGTGGTGGTTAACTGTGTGAAAGGCAGCTTCCAATCCCATTGTACATCCCCTTTTCTTGTACGTCCTTGCCGCTGCCCTTTCCTCTGGTGTTGACAGGAGTGGGTGCAGGTGGGCACAGCAGAGGCACCCACACTAAGCAGTTCTATAATCTTATACAGTGCCGAGAATTCTCAACTCAGGTAAGATCAACGCACAGTAAACCATATCACAGGTTGCTCAGTACCCTTCAATCTGCGTACATGTCTCACACATGCCAGGAACTGTGCTGGGTGCTAGGAATCTAGAGAGGGTTAAACAAGGACAAGTGAGCTGGGCGGTGGTGGCGCACGTCTTTAATCCCAGCACTCAGGAGGCACAGCCAGGGAGATCTCTGTGAGTTCGAGGTCAGCCTGGTCTACAGAGCGAGATCCAGGACAGGCACCAAAACTACACAGAGAAACCCTGTCTCGAAAAGAAAGAAAGAAACAAAGAAAGAAACAATGACAAGTGAAGGACTAGAGCAGTGTGGCGTCGTCGGAATGCTGCCGAACCAAGTGTGGTGTCATAACACTGTGGCTAAACGTTTTGGTAAAGACAAGCAGAGTGACATGGAGGCCTCCGAATAGTCACTACCTCTTTCTGCTGGTAAAAGTCGGGAAAGACCTACCTTCCCCGAGACAGTGGAACCTGCAAGGAGTCTTGAAGGTTCAGTGCCAGTGACCCAGGTGAAAAGCGGGGAGTCACTCAGAGGAAGGGGCAACACGAATGAAGGCATCCGGCTTACGGCACCAGGGGAACAAGAGGTCTTTCCTTCAGCTAGAACGAGATAGGGCTCAGAGGCTCCCAAGTCATGCCCAGCCTGCCGCCTGGTTGTGTATGGCCGGTGAGCTATTGGCTATGGTTATAACCTTTGGAAATGGTTAAAAAAAAAAAAAAAACCCAGAGGATAATCTTTCAGCTGTGAGCACAGTGACATGAGCATAGAGCCTGGGTTCCCTCAGTGTCACATAGATGGGGTGTGGAGGTGTGTGTCTATAATCCTAACCCTGGGGAGGCAGAGGATGGAGGCCCAGAGCATCAAGATCATCTCGGGCTACAAAGCCAGGTCAAGACCAGCCCAGGATACCTGAGATATTATCTTGAGAACAGAAAAAATAAAACAAAAAATGGAGCTTGGGAGAGAATGCCAGGTGAGATGCCCTTGGGAACAAATGTGACCCCTCACCTCAAGGAAAAGTTGCAGAATAGTAAAGAAAGTGGGTTGGGAAAGATCCGCAAGAACAGAAAGGCTTGACTGTTCCAGGGGTGAGTGGAGGAGAGAGAACACACCCAGATCCAAGGGAGGGCTGTAGACGTGAGAGAAAAGCATGCAACCGGATCTACAGACCTGGGGAGAGACTGACAGGTCATCCCCTAGCTGCGATGGATGAGGGCTGTAAGTGGCTCATTTGGTAACTGTTTGTCATGGCAAGAGTATCTGTAGACGGTGAGGTCAGAAACACAGTTGACAGGTAAGGATGAAAAGATATTCTTCAGGGAATGTGGGTCACTCTTCAAGAACCTGGACGAGGGAGAGGGACAGACAGCCTGGAGGCATTGGAGAGAGAAGTCGTGGAAAGACGGATCTTTCAATGGGGAAGGAAATTGAGGGTGACAATGGGCAGAGAGGAAGGTGTCCTGGAGACCGGAAAGGATAATGGACAGCCCACGATCCCAGGAAGGAAGGGAGGGATGGGAGCCAGAGCCCAGGTGGAGCTGGCTTTAACTGGGGGCGGGGAGTGGGAGGTGGCGAATGTTCCCAGAACGTGAACAGGTTTGGAGGCAGGTGTTCTGTTTTATTGCTTCTGGTTACTCATGAACTAGGAAGTCAGTTTGACTGCTTAAAATGAAGGGGCAAAGGTTGCACATGCCTGGGATAATTACAGCGAGCGGGAAAGGACTGTCCTTCAAGGCGGTGAGGTTGGCCTAGGCTCCACTCACTCTTCCTCAGAGACCTAGTCAGGGAGTGGATTAATTCCGGGCTGGGTTTTCTACCTGCCTGTGGCAATGGCACAGGAGTGTGGTTTGACTGCAAGACCCCAGCTTTGTGGAAGGGAAGAGAAGTCCACAGGAGGCTGGAGTGCTCGTTACCACAGGATGGAAGGACCAAAGGATTTTGTGTAGCCAGTGCTTTTCCAGTTTCCACTGCTAAAATTTAAACACCATGACGTCGGGCGTGGTGGCACACGCCTTTAATCCCAGCACTCGGGAGAAAGCCAGGTGGACTTCAGGGTTCAAAGCCAGCCTGGGGTACTTAGTAAGACCCTATCTCAAAATAAATATAAATAATAAGAATAATAGTACTTTAAAAGAGAGATAGGCTAATGCACAGTACAACCAACCTCTTCCAGGTTTCCTTTCCTTCCTCAAGTCCAGCCTGCCTGAACTAATTCACATACCTCTGCTCTCAAAAGACCTTCAATTCTGAAGAGCTTGAGAATTTTATTTCCCCAAACTGATACGTCTTTGTAATAAATGTGTCTCTGGATCCTTTCTTACTGGAGATCCCCCAGATAGTAGGCCTTTGAGGTTTTCAGAGGCCTAAGTGAGTCCCCTTCTCCTCCGAGAGGATCTACGGCTCTCTCTGGCTTCAGTTTATACATATCCACGCCGGGTTCTTTTGCAGCTTCTCAGAACTTCTGACCTAGATCTCCAGCCATGACTTCCATCTCGTCCAGCTCATTCCCTTCCCGTGCCAGTCAGCAGAAAGCCGTAGTATTCTACACTCTCAGTTCTCCCCCGTTCCATTAGTTCTGAAATACTCTCAGAAAATTGTTGAGGTGTGGGGTGGAGAGATGACTGCCTGGCGGCCCAACCCCCTTAACTTCAGCTCCAAGGGGTCTGACGCCCTCCTCTGACCTCTGGGGGCACTAGGCAGGCACGTGGTGCAGAGACATATACACACAGGCAAAACATTTGCACACATGAAATAAATCTTAACTTTCCTCCCCTTGATTTGCTAGAGTATGGGTAGGAGAGGTTTGGTTTTTGTGTGTGTTTGAGTAAAATTGTCTGAAAACATTTTTCCCTGAGTAGTCAGGGTTATAGTGAGCTCTTTGAAGAATTAGCTCCAGTTTTAATTTTTTTGGTCACCTTCCCTAGTTCTTCTTGTGCGTGTTTATCTGTGTGTGCAAGTGTGTGTTAGGGGATAGGGGCAGAGGACAACCTGTGATGTCATTTTCAGGCACTGTCCACCTTTATTTTTGAGACAAGGTCACTTACTACCCCCTAATTTACAAAATAAGCTAGGGTCCAGGGTCTGCCTGCCTTCACCTCCCCAGCACTGAGATAACGGGGGCTTTTTTAAAAAAATCTGGATTCTGAGGATCAAATCCAGGTCTTTGTGTTGATTTTAACCACCCTTCAAGCTGAGCAATCTCCCCTGCCTCCTTTTCTTTTGAAGTTTAATTTTTATTGGTGCTAAACGTATTGCTTGTGTTGGCAAATGAGACTACAAATCTTAATAGTGAATAGTAGAAAAGAACAGGACAGTCGTCCGTCGTATTGACACCATCCCCTCCCCAGAGGACACCAATTTCAGTTAACCTTTTTTTTTTTTTTTTTGGTCAGGGACTCTCTATAAAGCTCAAACTGGTCTGGAACTCACTCTGTAACTCAAGCTGGCCTCAAACTCACAGATTCCTAAATTCTAGGATTACAGGCATGTGCCACCATGTCAGCTCAGCTAACCTTTTGAAATCTGCTTCCATAGGTTAAATATATTAGTATACATTTATATATACACACACACAGGCACACACGCACACACTTTGGGGCTAGAGAGATGGCTCAGCTTCTTGCTCCTCCAGAGAACCAGAGTTCTGTTCCCAGCACCTGTCAGGTGCCTTACAAGCTACACTTGCCTATAACTCCAGATCCAGGGGGCCAGACTCTCTCTGGCCTCCACATACACATAATTAAAAATTAAAAGTAAATTCAGCCAGGCATGGTGGTTCATGCCTTAAAAAGCTAATTAAAAATAAATGTATGTATGGGCACTGTGGCCGTGTCTGGCACTTGCGGAGGAACCAGAGTCATGGACAGTTGGAAGCCACCACATGGGTGCTGGGAACAGAACTGGGAGTCTCTTTGAGAGCAGCAAGTGTTCTTAGCTACTGGGCCATCTCTCTGGTCCCCTCAAAGCCCTGTCTGAAGAAAGAGAAGGGTTGGGGGAATGGGGAGAGAGACAAACGTGTGTGCTTAGCCTGTGTGTAGGAAGCCATGGGGTCCACTTCTAGCCTCACCTGAGCAAACAGCAGCAAGGGTTGGAGCCTGCCAGCAAGCTGGCTCAGCAAGCCTGCCAGCCTGAGTTCAGTCCTCAGAACCCATGTGGAAGGAGAGCGCCAACGTCCGAAAGTCGTCCTCCGACAGCCCTGGGGAAGAACGGCAGAGATCTAAAACGGCAGGCCACGGGGGTCCAAGTGGGACCTCCACTTCCTTTGCAGCCACACAATGGAAGTCTTCCTTTCTCAACACGCAACCTTCACCCCACCCCACCCCTACCCGCACCCCTGCACCACTCACGTCCTGCCTCGGATTTTGGGGTCGATGTCTTATTGCTATCTTTCCTCTCCACAGTGGTGCATATAATTTTAAGTTATTGTTTTTTTAAGTGTGTGCGCGCGCGTGTGCGCGCACGCAGGAAGTGAGCTGCAGTTTTAGAATTCTGTTGCTTTTTCTGACAGGGTGACTCTGGAGGCCCCCTCCACTGCTTGGTGAATGGCCAGTATTCTGTCCATGGAGTGACCAGCTTTGTGTCCAAGCTGGGCTGTAACCTCTCTAGGAAGCCCACAGTCTTCACGAGAGTCTCTGCTTACATCTCTTGGATGAATAATGTGAGATCCTGAAAATGCTGAGCTGAAGCTCCCTGGTGATCCAGGCAGTGTCTGCCTTAGGCAGGGAACCCCAGGCTGGGGAAGCCTTGTCTCCGTAGCTGCCTTCCCTCCCTCCACAGGGGCTCCCCTTCACACCCCTCACTCTTTATAGTTTACTCTAATCCGAATCAAGCACACACACTGCTATCCTGAATCAAAGCCAAGGGAGGGCTTCAGAAAGACCCGCACTCCAAGCACCCACCTCTCCCTGAAGCATGCCCTCATTTTCACCTGTGAAAGATGTCTTACTGCCTAGCTGTTCTAGCCACGGAGCCACACACAACACATCACTGTGCCTTCCAGCCATCAGACACGTTCTGGAGCCTTCCTCCATGAATCTTGGCTCACAGCCATTTTAAGATCTGTCCTTGCCAGTCTTGGCTATGTGGCTAACACTGAGGTGTCTTGTCACAAATGAACCCTGTTTTCTGTTGACCACCCCAGAAACCCAGTGCATTGTCATACTCACCTAGAAGCCCTGAGGAAGTAAAGTGGGCAGAGGTTACTGACTGAGAACATAACTGTCTTTTCCTTCAGGTCATAGCCTCCAATTGAACATTTTCCTGAGTCAAGATAGAGTCAACATTTGCCTTCCCAAGATGGTTCCTAGCTCTGCGATAAGACTTGAAGTCAGCAGGAAGTGATGGGGTCATCACTCAGCGGTGGAGCACTTGTTTAACATGTACCAAACCCTGGGTTCATCCCCAACGGGGGCGGAGGAGTGTGCTGATGGTGTAGCTCAGCAGTGGAAGCCTTGTCTAGCATGTGAGAAGCCCGGGGCTGGGTCTCCAGCACCTGGGGCAAAGGAGGGGGTGGGGATGAAAGACAATCCTGAGACTATTGAACTGGATACAGAAAGGCAAATAAAACTGAATGTATTATCATATTGTGTGTTTGTTTTTACCATTAAGCACCCTACAGGAAACCCAGTTGTAAGTCCTAAGATGAATTTCACCACAGCCATGGCCTGGCTCTTCCCTTTGCTCTGTATTTGGAACAAGTGCTAACTCCAAGCTCCTGGATGACAGGAGCCTCAGGATGTCCTAGAGGTGTGGGGTTAGGAGGTCAGATGCCAGCAGACTAAGGGAGCCGAAACAAAGTAGGAAGGGGAGGGAAGAGAAAAGATACCAAAGAGAGAAAAGAAAGGGGTGAGAGGGAGGGGGAGACCAGAAAGGAAGAGGCAGCCATTCCGGGCTGGAGTTCAGCATGAATCAGCACTCTGAGGTGGAGACTAAAATAGGCAACCGGATCTTGAGCGCTATAAACACCACACAGCCAGGAAACTGATAACTCTGTGTTGTCCTGACCAGGGCTCAGGCTGTCAGGAATGGTCTGGGAGAAACAGAGGGGAACTGAAAGGAGAAGAAGCAGCTTTTCACAGCAATCACTAAAGAGCAGCTGGGAGGACTGGGGGAGTAGACGGCACAGCAGGGGAGCTGTCTGAGGCAGATCCTCCTGCCTGCAACAGGAGAGAGAGCCTCTACATGAGTGTGTGTGTGTGTGTGTGTGTGTGTGTGTGTGTGTGTGTGTGTTTGTGTGTGTGTGTGTGTGTGTGTGTGTGTGTGTGTGTGTGCTATGGCCTCTACATCAGTGTGTGTTGCTTGCCATTGCCCAGTTCAGGCTTCTCCCACGCTCTCCTCCTCAGCACTTTATTTATTTACTTATTTCTTTTTTTTTTTTTTTTTGAGACAGGGACCCTCTGTGTAGCTGGCTGTCCTGGAACTCACTCTGTAGACCAGGCTGGCCTCCAACTCACAGAGATCTGCCTGCCTCTGCCTCCCAAGGGCTGGGATCAAAGGTGTGTGCCACCACTGCCTGGCTGGCTCCTCCTCCTCAGTACTTTATTCATGACATCCCCTTTCCTGAGGACCTTATCTCTCTTTCCAGTCTTCCTTTCAAATCCAGATCTGGATTCTGCCCACCTTCTACACCCTGTCCCTACTATTTCCAGGCTTAGAGCGGGCTAAACTGCAACCCAGGCTGAGACATAGCCACCCGGCATCAATACCCATACAGTCCATCGGTGGTTTCTGGTCCACTAAACATCCTCACTGAGTGGAACTCCGTCTTTTCTGTCCCCTCATTTCAGTCCTTTTCAGGTCCTCTTCAGCTTTTGGGAACCAAGGGTACACATTCGAAGACCCTGTTCAATGGGGCCATTCTTTTCCCACCCCAGGGCTAGTGTTTCCAGGCTGGTCTTGTGCACCCACCAAAGTCCACCGTAAACAATCCCTTCTTGGCCAGCTTCCTCCGAACAACCCAGCTGCCCTCTCAGCTCCAAATGCCCCCGTGGACGCCAGCCTGTTGCCTGGGGAAGCACTTGAGCTGGACAGTGGTCTGCCACAGTGGTCCTCCCGGGCAGCTGGACGGTGGTGTGTCCAGTGATCCTTGCAGGGAACTGGATGGTGGCATGCCCAGTGGATAGCTGGATGGTGGCATGCCCAGTGGATAGCTGGATGGTGGCGTGTCCAGTGGATAGCTGGATGGTGGCATGCCCAGTGGATAGCTGGATGGTGGCGTGTCCAGTGGATAGCTGGATGGTGGCGTGTCCAGTGGATAGCTGGATGGTGGCATGCCCAGTGGATAGCTGGATGGTGACGTGTCCAGTGGATAGCTGGATGGTGACGTGTCCAGTGGATAGCTGGATGGTGGCATGCCCAGCGGATAGCTGGATGGTGACGTGTCCAGCGGATAGCTGGATGGTGGCGTGTCCAGCGGTTAGCTGGATGGTGGCGTGTCCAGTGGTTAGCTGGATGGTGGCATGCCCAGGGGTTAGCTGGACGGTGATGTGCCCAGTGGCTAGATGGACGGTGGCATGCCCAGTGCATAGCTGGACGGTGGCATGCCCAATGGATAGCTGGACGGTGGCCTGCCCCGTGGATAGATGGACGGTGGCGTGCCCAGTGGCTAGCTGGACGGTGGCGTGCCCAGAGGTTAGCTGGACGGTGGCGTGCCCAGTGGCTAGCTGGACGGTGGCCTGCCCAGTGGTTAGCTGGACGGTGGCGTGCCCAGTGGTTAGCTGGACGGTGGCGTGCCCAGTGGTCCTCGCAGGGTGGCGGTGGGGTGGTCCAGGCCGCCCAGGCCCTGCAGGCTGCAGGCAGGGTGTGAAGGCCCGCCCTCTGGGCCTGGCGCGAGGCATGCTGGGAGGCCGCACTTCCTCTCGGGGGCCTCTAGAAACCACAGGACCGGGCAGCGCCCCCGCAGCCGGCAGGATGGCAGAGGGCAAGGCGGGCGGAGCCGCGGGCCTCTTCGCCAAGCAAGTGCAGAAGAAGTTCAGCAGGGCCCAGGAGAAGGTAGGCAGCCCGGCCTCGGGGGCCCGGGCCCGGAGAGGGGTCCTGCGCCCAGACACCGAGGGGGAGTGGGTGTCCTTGAACACGGGCCGAGGCGGGAGCAGCAGCAGCCGAGGAGACAGCTGTTCCCCCGGAGCCCTCTGCGACCCTCAGCCCGGCCCAGAAAGGGCGGCAGGAAGGCACAAGTGGTGGTAGCCCCCGGGGTCGCAGATTGTGTCCCAGCCGTAAAGCAAGGAGGGCGTTTCCCAGGTGATGAATTCAGCGGAGGGTCCTGGCCCCCAAAGTAAGTGACAGCGGCCCCGGTGCCTGTGAGTCGGCCCACTTAATTTGTTTCAGGGATTCACCGAGGACCAGGATAGTCTACACAGTTCCCCACACCCCTGAGTGGTGTTTAAACTGGTGTGAATGGAGCCAGTGGGCAGGAGAGACGATTCGTGGCATCCTAGGCTGTATGTATACTGAGTTCAAGACCAGCCTGAGCTACAAGAGACTCTATGTTGGGGTGAGGAGGAGCTGTGCCCAGTAGCCTGTCCTGCTTCTTAGGCCTTCCCTTCTGCCTTGGTGGTGCCCCAGGACCTCCGTGTGCCCTTCCTGAAACGGCCACCTATTCAACTGACCCCTTTAACTTGCCTATCCATTCAGATTATGGGGACAGCCAGGCGTGGTGGTGCATGCCTTTAAACCCAGCACTTGGGAGGCAGAGGCAGGCGGATCTCTGTGAGTTCGAGGTCATCCTGGTCTACAGAGCGAGTTCCAGGACAGCCAGGACTACATGAAGAGACCGTGTCTCAAACAAACAGAGAGAGAGAGAGAGAGAGAGAGAGAGAGAGAGAGAGAGAGAGAGAGAGAGAGAGTGAGTGAGTTATGGGGACACCCTTCACCGTTTACTTGCTTGTTTTTTGAGAAAAGGGTCTTAAAATGTAGCCCAGGCTGGTCTTGAATGCAGGATGCTCATCCTGCAGCCTCAGTCTTCAAAGTTGCGTGTGTGTGTGTGTGTGTGTGTGTGTGTGTGTGTGTGTGTGTATGTGTGTGTGTGTCATAGGTGTGAGCCACTGTTCTCAGCACGCTTCAGTTGTTTATTTTTGGAGACAGTTTCTTGTACTCCCAAATTGACTATGCCTTTGAACTTCCAGTCTCCCTGCCTCCCTCTAGCTTCTGAATCCTGGGATTACAGGCGTGTGCCATCACACCTTTTGCCTGCTGGGGGTTGAACCCAGAGTTTCTGCCAACTGAGTTCCATCTCAGCCCTTTCCCTACGCATTTTAAAGGTATTTTGATTTTACCATCCGGAGCATTTGCTTAGCCACCGCCTACCAACACCCTAGTAGAAAAGGTGGTTGTGGAGAGAGGCAGAAGCTAAAAGAGAAGGGTACACGCTCTTTGAAGCAGTTACCGTCTGTGGTAAGATCTGTTACCGTCTGGAGGTGACACATTGGCCACTGGAGAAGATTAAGGGCGGCCAGCTCTCCACAGGCCATTGCCAGGGGAAACTGGTGGGACATGGTTGTAGATGCAGTTCTTGGTGTTAAACCCCCACGAGGGAGAGGAAGGGCTCTATATAGGTCTGTCTTTCGAGGTCATGTGAAGGACAAGAGGAGAATAAAGGTTTTGTGTGGCCAGCCTTTGTTACCTCACTTGCTGTAAACTTGGCCTCTCTGGAGGCTGTGTAACTAGACATCTGATAGATAGATGTGAGCACAGTGCTTGGGGGAAGGTCTAGTTATCAGTGGGGGACAGGGAGCGTGCCTAGAGAAAGCTGCACTGTGGTTGAAGAACTACAAAGCAAAAAAAAAAAAAAAAATCCAAAAGACAAAACCCAATCAACGTGATATATTAAGGGCTGGCAAATAGGGCTTCGTGTGAGAGCACTTTCCTATTGAGCAGAATCCCGAGTACCACAAAAGAGAAAATGTTTTAAACCCACAGGCATCGCTTGTTTTTGCCTGATTTCCTCTGGCCTGTTGTCAACATGATACGTTTGGGTTTAGAGCTCTTTGTCTCCTTTAAGCCTCGATCCCAAAACCTTCCCTAAGGAATGTTCTGTTCTTGGCTTCAGGTCTCTCATCTATAAAACAAGGAGGTTGATGTTCTCTATGAAACTCTATATACTAAGACCAAGTTGAAAACAGGAGGTAACCCTGAGCTTCCGCGTCAAGCATTTCCTAAGTAGAACCGGTCATTCAGGTAGCACACTGTTCTTCTGGTCCTGGACCCTGACGAGATAGGGAGAGAGGCGCAAACTCAAGTCTGCCCCGAGGAACTTGCTAGGTAGCCTGCACCTGAGACTGGGAGTTTGTGGGTTCAGGGCTGGCCTAGGCAGACACTGGACTTAGAGGAGGAACAGCCTGGATGGGAGAGCTAGAGTCCTTGAGTATTGGAAAGTTACTGAGAGCAAGGTAAAGAGAGACTGTCCCAGTGAAGAAGACACCCTGGGCTGAAGGTGGCTCGGCCGATCACGGCTCTTGCTGCTCAGCCTGGTGGCCCGAGTTCAGTTCCTACCTCCTCTTCCCCTTGCCACAT